TAACCAAATCAAAGAAAGAAATAAAAACGAAATAGTTAATTTATTTAATATTTTTGTTTATTTTTTATTTACAATCTATCCAGGGAAAAATAGTTTACGGTTATTAGTCAAGCATTTAGTCTACTTCCGTTTCCAAAATGGCCACCATCGAAGAAGGAATGTAAACATGTGCTGAATAAAGATGGCAATAACTATCAAAAAATATATTTTATACATCAATTTATTTGAAAAATGTTATCAAATTAAATTCAAAAGTAAGTGAAATAATTTATTTTAGGAAATTCACCAAGTAAACTAATCAAACGAAAACGAAAGTGCAAGTTTGAAATTTTCTACGATGTATTATCAATACATGTAGCTCTATACATCTATCTTTGGACTCGGTATGGAGCAATCGGCTATTCTGATAAAATTAGACTGACAACTTGACTATTGGATTAAACGGGAGCCACTGTATATCATTCTGTACAATACATGAATTATAAGTTTGGTAGCAAATAATGCAAACTCACAAGTGATTAATTTAATTTCCGATTTTCACCTCTACTTATACAATTATTATGCATGTGTACATGCAGTTTAAAACATGAGACAGAAAAATAAATTGTTGCAAACCTAGTGGTTAAGTCGGCAATTAAAATGCATAAAACTTGAAATGAATAAATGCACAGTCGGATAAGTTAATGATAAAATAAGCACGAGACAGAGTGAAATAAAATAATACATGTATGTAAGATTCGAAATGATTTCAAACCCAATTTTCCATTAATTGCTATGAGTTCACACTGCATTTTAACACCGACATGACCACGGCTCGCTGATCTCTGCAGCCATGTGTGAACGAGGAGTGGGTTACAACAAAGCGACAGAGCGGAATGTAAACTGTGTGCTGAAAGAAGGCGTGAATTATTGTATGTTTAAAAGTATTATTTTATGTATATAGTTTATTCAATATTAAATGAAAAATTAAATGAAGAAACAAGAGACTGATGGTAAAAATTATACTTTACACAAATATTAATACTTCCATCACTAATTGCAATTATTTTCCGTAGCACCTTTTCAATTACAATTGAAATAGAATACAATAACATGGGATAGAGAAATAAATTGTTTGTTTTTTTTAAAAATCGTATTGTTGTGTCGACTGAACAGGCCGGTGAAAGCGATTAAAATTTGAAATGATTTCATGCACTAGAGTTTGTAGTTAGAATAATCTAACTGTGTCTCGGGACAGGCCCTCACCATGTTAAACCGGGTCCGTAGGACATTTATCATTTTAACGATAGAACATTCTATCTATAGAGTTTGGAATTAAGATTAAATCAAAGATGAGATTAAGTTATCTTAAGGATTCGACATAAATTTCTACACAATGGATTTAAAACGCGATCACAGTCTTCACAGATGTTTGTTTTGTTTACATGGTTTATGACGGCAGGTGGCTGGTACACTGGTGACCTTGGCAACATGATCGCGGGTTATGTTACATAACTATAAACATCGAGGTGAACATGGAGAAAGTAAAATGCGTACAGTTAATGATCATTAATTTAATATTACTTATATAGTTATATAGATACATTTAATTTCTTCCTTTATTTGAAGACGTGTTCCCTTTAAAACTAAATTAAAAAAGAAAAGAAAGTTGTAAAAAATAATTTATCTTTTAATTTAAAGTTTTTTAGTTTTAAAGGAAATTTAGTTTATAAAGGAAAATATGTCAAAATTTTTGCTCTTTTCCGTGTTCTAACTTTTGACCCCTCTCTAGAGCCATTTTTAATGCAAAAATCAAACAAGAGACCCATGGGCCACAACGCTCACCTGAGAAACTTTGGACTTGCTGTTTTTCACCTGATTTCCGCCCTTGTAGAATACAAGTTGTAATGCTTATTGTGGCCCCGCCCTACCCCCGGGGGTCATGATTTGAACAATTTAGAATCTACACTACCCCAGAGTGCTTCCACGTAAGTTTCAGTTTTTCCAGCCCAGTGGTTCTTGAGAAGAAGATTATTAAAGATTTTTACTATATATTTCAATGTAAAACTTGGATTCCCTATCGTGGCCCCGCCCTACCCCTGGGGGTCATGATTTGAACAATTTAAAATCTACACTACCCCAGAGTACTTCCACGTAAGTTTCAGTTTTTCCAGCCCAGTGGTTCTTGAGAAGAAGATTATTAAAGATTTTTACTATATATTTCAATGTAAAACTTGGATTCCCTATTGTGGCCCCGTCCTACCCCTGGGGGTCATGATTTGAACAATTTAGAATCTACATTACCCCAGGATGCTTCCACATAAGTTTCAGCTTTTCTGGCCCAGTGGTTCTTGAGAAGAAGATTTTTTTCTACATATCTTAATGTAAAACTTGGATTCCCTATTGTTGCCCCCCCCCCTTTGGGGTCATGATTTGAACAATTTAGAATCTACACTACCCCAGGATGTTTCTTCATGAGTTTCAGCTTTTCTGGCCCAGCGGTTCTTGAGAAGAAGATTTTTAAAGATTTTTTTCTACACATTTCAATGTAAAACATGGATTCCCTATTGTTGCCCCGTCCTACCCCCGGGGGTCATAATTTGAACAATTTAGAATCTACATTACCCCAGGATGCTTCCACATAAGTTTCAGTTTTTGTGGCCCAGTGGTTCTTGAGAAGAAGATTTTTTAATGACCCCAGCCAATTTTTGTCTTTTCTTGATTATCTCCCCTTTGAAAAGGGATTGGCCCTTCATTTTAACAATTTAAACTCCCCTTTACCCAAGGATGCTTTGTATCAAGTTTGGTTAAAATTGGCCCAGTGGTTCTTGAGAAGAAATTGAAAATGTGAAAAGTTTACAGACGGATGGACTGACAGACAGACGGACGGACAGATAGATGGACGACGGGTGATCAGAAAAGCTCACTTGAGCTTTCAGCTCAGGCGAGCTAAAAACAAGAGGCCCATAGGCCACAATGCTCACCTGAGTCAATATGGCCCTGCTGTTCTTCATCAGCAGATTTCTTCTCCTATACATGTATATGCATATGTAAACTTTGATCGCCTGTTCTAGGCATACCCTTAGCCTACTCTTACCCTTAGCCATGTTTTGAATGAAACTGAATCTAAACTTTCTGAGGATGCTTCTATATTCAAATAACTAATCATGGCTTTGCTGTTCTTGAAAACGAATTTTAAAGATGTCTGCCACCCTACCCTGGGGGAGGGGGGGGGGGGGTCATGATTTGAACAAACTTGAATCTACACTACCTGAGGATGATTCTATATCAATATGACTAATCACGGCTTTGTTCTTGAGAAGAAGATTTTTTTTAAAGATATTTCCTATATATGTTCTTTTGTAAAACTTTGATCACCCATTATTGCCCCACCCTACTACTGGAGGATGCCTTGAACAAACCTGAATCAACAATACTTGGGGATACTTCCATATCAATATGACTAATCATGGCTTTCCTGTTCCTGAAAAGATTTTTAAAGAATTTTCCTATATATTCCTATGTAAAACTCTGATCCCCCATTGTGGCCCCACCCTACCCCTGGGGGTCATGATTTGAACAAACTTGAATCTACACTACCTGAGGATGATTCTATATAAATATGATTAATCCTGGCTTTGTTGTTCTTGAGAAGAAGATTTTTAAAGAATTTTCCTATATATTCCTATGTAAAACTTTGATCCCCCATTGTGGCCCCACCCTAACCCTGGGGGTCATTATTTGAACAAACTTGAATCTACACTATGTAATGAAGGTTTCACATAAGTTTCAACTTTTCTGGCCCAATGGTTCTTGAGAAGAAGATTTTTAAAAGATGACATCAAATTTTCACCAATTCTTAATTATCTCCACTTGGAAGAGGTCATGGCCCTTCATTTGAGCAAACTTGAACCCCCTTCACCCAAGGATGCTTTGTGGCAAGTTTGGTTGAAATTGGCCCAGTGGTTCTGGTGAAGTGGAAAATGTGAAAAGTTTACAGATGGACGGACAGACAGATAGATGGACAGACGGATGACAGACAAAATGTGATCAGAAAAGCTCACTTGAGCTTTCAGCTCAGGTGAGCTAAAAACCAATGTCCACAACTTCAATGCTTATTCTTTTCAATTTCAAAGGGTTTTGTGCTCCAATTACTACAGTCTCAGAGCCTTTGTCTGGAAATCAAAGGCCTTAAAATTTCAATCAATGGGAAATAACTCGTGAACAGAAGGTAATTTCTGAATTGTATTACAGTATTCTGAGAGTGTTTTGTAAAGTCTAAAAGCTCTGAAAATTTGAACAAAATCTGTTCAGGAATGAGGAAGATATGAAGCTTCAAAGTTGGTGTCTAGGAAAAAAAAAAGAATAAAAAGAATAATCTTAATCATCAGAATCAGTAGGTCTTCCGTTGGAATGGAAGACCTTAATTAACTAATTTTTTTTATAAATCTTGGCAATTGACTGTGTGCTAGGAGTTGTCACCTTGCGTTCATGGCATTTTCACTGCGCTGGGTGCGTTCACAATACACAATACGTTTACAATGCATTCTTAAACGCAGTGACATCTCCAAGGACTTCGCTAAGTCCCGTGGAAGCACAGTCTTCTATCACTGCGTTCATGCTGCTATCATGTGCATCTTCACAGCATGCCTACGGAGCTCCCACTGCTTTGTTGGAGATCTCACTGTGCTGCTTCGTCGATCATACTACATTTTTACTGCGCCCTTATCAGACCATGCTCAAATGGTGGGTACTTTGTGCATGCCCAAAGTGCGCGCTGTCCCCTGGCATTCTAGGAGACCCTATGCGACCCTACCGCATTCAGTGGAGATCTCGACACATTGTCACAGCGCCGTAGGAGACTCTACTCCGCTCATCACAGCATTTCGCATTTTTTGGACGCCATGTGATTGCACTAAGGACACAGTGCGGCTCTGACAGGGGTTTAATAAAGGAGAGATGTTATTTGATTTAGAACATCATGAATTTTTGAAAATCTTAAACTACCTAGCACAACTTACCACCCATTCCTGAATACCCAAAGATTTCCACTGGCCTTGGTAGAGGTGTGCCTTTTATGTTCCAAGCTGCTACTTTTACTCCATACATTTGGTAAGTGTCATTTGTTTTAATCAGCTTTGAATTCTTATCCCCAGCCACAACATATGGACTGATTTTGTCATCTTTTGTATTCAGTTTCCTCACAAATATTTTGTATGAAAAGTTCTCTCCATTGAAATCCATTGGATCCATCGCCTTAAAAGAGAATAAATCCTAGATAAACTTAAAAGAGAATAAATAGATAAACTTAAAAGAGAATAAATCCTAGATAAACTTAGTCATGCATGCAGTATAATAGGACTGCCGTCATGACAAAATTAAGGGCCCTTAAGGTCAAAGTTTCACAAAACTTTTTTTTTGTTGTTAATTTTGAAAGCCCAACACTTTCTGAATGCAATTAAGAAATAAAGTATCATTTTTTAAACTTTTATCAGGATGTTAATATGCGGGTTGGTCATGTGAACAAATACCATTAAGCCTGAAGGGATTTAAAGTAGATTTGATCAGTACCTTAACTTTTTCAAAATTATCCTATTTTTCACTATTAATTAGCAATTTAGTGAGGTGCTTCAAAACAACATTGAAGTTACTCATTGAAAATATAATGATGTCAAACAAAGGATGAAATTACACCATTCAGTCGACAGAATGGTAACTGAATGCCCACTGAATGATCACTGAAAAGATCCTTTCCCATAACGATAATGATCTTTCAGTTACCATTCAGTCGACTGAATGGCAGATACATTTCAGTGGCCTTTCAGTTACCTTTCAGTTGTGGTACCAGCTGCAGCAATGACGAAGACATTGCTGTCCCTATCAGCTCAGTAGGTACGTCAGCTTACTTACCTACACCTATTGTTAGCGTAACAGATTCAATTGGATACAACATCTCTTCAAAAACACGGGAAAAAACACAAAATGGGGAGTTTTTAGATCTGGGTGTTCTATTGGAATCATCAGATGAAAGGAATAAGAAAAACAAGCTTAACTTAGTGGACGGGGAACTCGTCCTTTAAAAGGGGAAAAGTGGAAAAATCACCGACACTGGGAAATGGACTGATGTGTTTCTTGTTTTTACTAGTATTTATGTTAAAGCACACTCCGATCAATCACTTGGTTTACTTAAATATATGCACATGGTTAGATTGGGTTCTTATAGATCTCCCACTGGCTGGAAATTGTATGATGAACAATTCAGGCTTAAGAAGGCAAGAAATAGTTGAACCGTCGAAAGGCATGTGTTTTGATTTCAACTACAAGGGTGCATGCAGTAAACCATATTGTATTTATGCACATCGCTGTTTCAGATGTTCATCTGAGCACCCAGTGTTCACTTGTTCTCGCAATTCAGCTCTACGCTCTTCCGTACAAAAGCAGCCTTTTTGTTTTCAATCACCAAATCAGGGCAAATCCCAAACTATAGATTTCGCTACCCCCAGGGGGCTAATGCACCTCGGTCATTCTTCAGTAGACATTAATCAACTTTCAATATTGATACAGTCTTATCCAAACCATGAATTAGGCAATGAGTTGTTAAATGGGTTTAAATTTGGATTTTCGCTTCAGTATTTAGGTCCACATAATTACTTGAGTGTAAAAATTTAATTTCGGGAAACCAGTATCCAAACGAAATTCAGAGTATATTACAAAGTGAAGTTGATATGAGTCGCATGACTGGCCCTTTCCATCATCTACCACTTTCAAACCTGAGGGTGTCTCCAATAGGAGTCGTTCTTAAGTCTAGCAGGGGGTGGCGTTTAATTACTCATCTGTCATATCCACATAACAATAGCATCAACAACTTTATAGATAAAGAACTTTCATTTGTACACTACTCTTCATTTGACAGCACTATCAAAATAATAAGTCAGCTCGGTAAAGGATCTTTATTGGGCAAAATGGACATAAAAAGCGCTTTTCGACCATTACCAATTAAACCAGATGATTTTTGCCTACTTGGCTTCAAATTTGAAGGTTAATACTACATTGACAAATGTTTACCATTTGGTTGTTCTATATCATGTGATACATTTGAGAAATTTGCTTCACTTTTGGAATGGGTTGTCAGGTCACAGTTTGGTTTCGCACATGTAACACATTATCTTGATGACTTTTTGTTTGCTGGTTCAGCTGTTTCCAACACTTGCTCAAGACTCATGAAACAATTTGGCAATTTATGTAAAGCTTTGGGAATTCCTCTTGCCATCGATAAAACTGTTGGCCCCATCACAAAGTTAACCTATCTGGGTTTGGAAATTGACAAATTTTGAGACTCTGGGGCAAGTGTCATTCCAAACAAAAAGCTAATTAAGCTTAAGATTTCGCTGACAGAAATGGAAAATAAATCTAAAGTCACTTTGAAGGAGATGCAATCTCTGGTAGGTCAATTAAACTTTTGCACCAAAGCCATGTGGTCTTCCTGCGCCTTTAATCGGCGTTTCTATGATGCTATGATTGGTGTGCAAATGCAATATCATTTTATCCACATTACAAAATCCATCAATGATGATTTGCTTATGTGGCTTAATTTCTTGAATCACTTCAATGGCATATGCTATTTAAATGATGTTGATTGGTTAAGGAGTGATATTCTTCAATTGTATACAGACAGTGCTGGAGGTAAGAACCTGGGGTGCGGGGCATACTTAAACGGTAAGTGGGCCCATTTTCCTTGGCCCTCAACATGGGGGAAACGGAAATTTTGAGAGACGTTACCTTTTTAGAGCTGGTCCCAATAGTTCTAGCAATGACACTGTGGGGAGATTACTTCAGATCAAAAATGTTACATTAAGAGTAGATAACGCAGCCCTTGTATACATCTTGAACAAACAGACATCAAAATCTAAAAGAGTAACGCACTTCATTTGTTATTTAGTATATCTCTCAATGAAATACAATTTTAGATTTAAAGTAAAACATATCCCAGGTTTATGTAATAATATTGCTGATGCTTTGTCTCGTCGACAGTGGACCAAATTCCGGGAACTAGCCCGAAAGGCAGATATAAAATCAACCCCGTTTCCACCGGTATTTCACTCACTGATATCAGGAGTGAAACCGTTAGATTAATAGACATGGCCACCTCAGACAATACTAAAGCGGCACACAACAACGGCTACAATTTATCTTGTAAGTTCAGGTCCGAGTTCCAACTCCATAATTCTTGGCCACCATCGCTGGAGGAATTGACAAACTTTGTCGCTTTCCTTTCTGTCAAAAGTTACGCAGTTAGCACTGTCAAAAACATACCTAGCAGCTATATCGCACAAGATTTAGATTTCCATCTCAGAATTACCGAATTATACTTCACATTTTATTATTCGAAAAATGCTAGAGGGAATGAAGAGAGAAAGACATTCCAAAGACACATGGTTACCAATAACAATTCAACTCCTCCACAAATTAATTAAATTAATACATTACCCAATGTATGCACATCGAGTTACGAGGGAGCCTATTTTCTGCAGCTTTTTCGTTGGCATTTTATGGTTTTCTTCAAGTCGGGGAATTTGCAGTAGGCTCTAGAAATTCAAATGCAGCATTACTTAAGAGCGATCTCATTATAAACGAGTCCTCATCTTACTTAGAGGTTAACATTAGGAGGTCAAAGACTGACCAGTACAGCAAAGGAACACAGTTAATTACTCCCGCTATCGGCGGTCCATATTATACAATTATGGACTCTTTCGGAAAGAGTCCATAATTGTTTTATTATATAGTCAGGATTTGAATGAATAAGACATTGAAGGCTGCATGACGACTCCATTTTCATTAACGAACTTCTGTCGTAGAAAAAAAAAAAAGTCCAGATTATAACTTTTAACTTCCGTGTTTTCCTTTTGCTGTGTGTAAGACATCGAAATGTTTGGAAAATAATCCTACGAGAAATTTGCCTAAAAGTTTTCCTGCTCAGATATACAGCATATACAGCTGGCTCCGGCCGTTGCAACCATTGTTTTCAGCGTTGTTTTAGGTTTGATTGTGACGTCACAATGCCACTGCACGCGCACTGACCCTCCGGTGAATACGGCTTCAAATCCAGTGAATATGTAGTATTATGAACTGTTTGCATTTGTATAGATTATATAGGGACTATTTATAGACTATATAATAATGCCCATTATTACTCATGCACCATTATTTATAACAAATATCGAACATTTCTGGTCAATTATTTTGTCATTTTGTGGTAAACCACTAACTAGATATCAATTTAATTCCATCTTAAATAAATGCCTCTCGCGTCTCAGTATATCTGGATGCAACTATAAATCACATTCCTTTAGAAATGGAGCAGCTACATACTTCCATTCTCAGGGCGTTGATGATGAAACAATTAAGAGCCATTCTCTGTAATGACTTGAACTTTTATATAGGAGCTGTGGCACGCATAGTCTCAGAATTTCTCCAAACTCTCTATGAAAAAAGTCTTTGATACCGTTAACTCAAATCAGGCAAAAATTGGTTGCTACGTGTCATGGTTACCATAGCAACATGTCCTAAAGTTTGAAAAATGGCATTTTTCAACATGTTCAGAGTCCCACAGTTAACGTTTGCAGCAAAGCAAACAAGTGGCAATGACTGTTTCTGAAAGTTGAAGGCCTGGTGTCTTAAATGCATGATAAACATATTTGGTAAATCAACTATAACATACGTTACTATGGAAACAAAATATTCAAAAGTAATAATTTTGTTTATTTAATTTTATAAAGTCATACACTTAAGAATAAAAACAATTATATGTCGAAATGCAAGCAAACAATAGACAAGAGGTCCTTGTAACATATACCAAGGACAAAGTATGATATTTCTTATAGGTTGGCAATGGTTGCCATGGTTTTAAAAAGCATATTTCTATAAAACTGATGATCAATTTTTAAAAGCATTGGTGTGACCCTAATTTTCACATTTCAAAAAATTCAATTTCAATTCTTTAAATAGTGCGTTGCTATAGAAATAAGGCGAAAAAACATGTATAAAAATCTGAAAAATACCCTGTTTCCTTGGATACGTACCATTGTATGTAGATTCCCAAAACTTTTGTGATTGATAATTATGAACAACTAACCTGACTTTCAATTTTGACTGCCACCCAATCTCTAACTGGATGCAAAAAGCTGGCACATAGGGTTTAATATTGATGTAAAATTAACAAAATCGAACATTTTCCCCTCTTGGTTACCATAGCAACA